TGTTAATATTATTATAATGTGTTATCTATTATAATGCCACAAATTAGTGTTATAATCATTATATCTGTTTTTAGAATTTTTTTGAATACTACTACTAATAATAATAATAATTGGATAATTGAATCGTTTATAATTAAATTCGCACATCAGGATAAATGAATTTTTAACTACAGTTCAATGAGCGTGAAAAAGCTGTCAAAAAAATTAGTAAGCAAGTCAGCGTGAGCTCTGAAGTCACGCGAGATTTCTCTGCGAGATCTTGCTGTTTTCAACATGGCAGGCAGCAAGTTGGTGCTAGAAGGGAGGATAAGTATTATTAGCTTTATCTCAGGACTGGGCGTCATTATAATACCTTTACTTGTAAAATTCGGCGCTCACATTGACTGGATATTCGATTACCTCACGGACGTGAACGGGAAAATAGCCATTGCGGCGTATATTACAGTTATCAATGGCTTTCTGCTAGTCATATACAAGGGACCTTTATACAAGGTAAGACTCAGAGAGACAGTGTGAATCTGATGTGTGTTGTACAGATAGAGCACATGTGTAATTACTGTGTAACTGAACCACTGTCTGGTGCAATATACACGTTTTACATGAATAAAGATATCTAGATGTGTAGTTGCAAAGGCTACAGGACTCTTATCACTGGTAATGTCCTCATAATCCTATTACATTAGCTCTCTAATGGGATCTCGTATAGGTGTCTCTGTCAATATAAATAAGCTCTCCAGGAAGACAGCTTACTGTATGAGGGTTTGCAGAATCAGGAACTGGCTCACAATTTCCTTCCTCTTTGCTTAATCAGGTGGCTGTTCGAGCCTGCTTTCTTGGATTTGCCTTTGGATGTGGTCTCATTTTAAGTTTTGCAGATACAACATGGACACATTTTGGCTGGTAATTAAACTTTTGTGAAATGGGTTAGGTCTATTTGAGGTTCATTTACACATTTAACATACAATAAGGACTGAAGATCATTCTAAATGGTCTTAGAAGTGAATGAATTTTTATGAATTATGGAATAATAACGTCGCTCTGTATTGAATGTTTTGTTTCACTAGGTATATGTGTTCGCTGTCATTTTTTCACTACTCTGAGTACCTGGTTACTGCCATCATCAACCCACGCAGTCTGTCCCTAGACTCCTTCCTGCTCAACCATAGTGTTGAGTACACAGTAGCAGCTATTTCCTCCTGGATAGAGTTCACTGTGGAAAAGCTCCTTATTCCAGGTTTGATACAATCTAGGCCAGAGATTCGCAGCCAGAGTTTGATTTTGCTTTTTTAAACCTGATACATAGTAATGTAATATAACATACTGCCAAAGCTAGTGATTGAAGTGAAATGATTCTAAAGTTTACAGAATTATTATTATTATTATTATTGATAAACTATTTTTTTCTCATTATTGAAATCTTTCCAGAATTAATTGAATTTCACTGTCTGTTTTTATTTCCCCACAGAGATGAAGCAGATGAACTGGCTCTGTCTGGTGGGTCTGGTGATGGTTCTCTGTGGGGAGAGTTTGCGCAAAGCTGCCATGTTGACAGCAGGATCCAACTTCAACCACATAGTACAGAATGAGAAGGCCCAGAGCCACGTGCTGGTCACCACTGGAGTTTACGCTCTCTTCAGACATCCTTCCTATGTGGGCTGGTTTTACTGGAGCATTGGCACTCAGGTACTTTAACCATTATTCAAATGGAATTAATATTTATAGTATTTCACAGTACATCTTTTTCTAAAGCAAATTCACAAACTATTTTTTTTAGTATAATAGTAATACAAATAATACTAATAATAATTATTGTTGTTATTATCTTTTACTTTTAAATATATATTTACGTTTTGTTTTATAATTTTTTTGTGTCCCTAAAATTCACACTACCAAAAGATTTTTTTTAAGAAGTCTCTTGTGTTCACCAAGGCTGTATTCATTTGATAAAAATTACAGTAAAATCAGTTATATTGTGAAATTTTATTATGATTTAAAATAACTGTTTCTTATTTAAATACATTTTAAAATGTAATTTATTCCTATGCTGGCAAAGCTGAATTTTCAGCAGCCATTAATCCAGTATTCAGTGTCACATGATATTCATACTCTAATATGACAGTCTGGTCATATGGTGCTTATTGTCAATGTTGAAAAATCTTTCTGTGGAAAACTTGATGAATAGTAAGCTCAAAAGAACTGCATTTCCTTACTGTTATGTTTGATAAATTGAATGTGTCCCTCCTGATAAAAATTTTAAATCATACTTTTGAATGATGTGTATGTCTACAGTTTCCAAAAAGTGACACCAATGAAAATCCAAATTTCAAATTTTTCAACATTATTGTTTTCTCTTTTTTTTTTTTATCAAATAAATACAGGTGAGCGTAAGACACAAAAATCATAATTATTCCAAACTTTTGACTGGCAGAGTCTAAAAGATATGTTTTGTCTTAAATGTTTTGTTTTAAACCTATTTTTTTCTCCAGATAATGCTGTGCAACCCAATATGTCTACTGGGATATACGATCGCCAGCTGGCGCTTCTTTCGAGAGCGTATTGAGGAAGAGGAGATCTCGCTCATCCATTTCTTTGGAGAGGACTACATTGAGTACAAGAAGGTGGTCTTCACTGGCTTGCCCTTCATCTCAGGGATCAGGGTTAACTCCTAAAGCCGTACTGCATAGAACGGAGGAAATAGCCTGAAAGTGCACACCTGGACACCTCTGACTGGCACTCTGAGCGAGCTAGTTGCCTGGTGGCATCATGTCGCGCCCCTTGGGGGCGGCACAGATATATGAGGTGGCAGCACAGTAAAACTGACCCGCTGATCTGCTCTGAGACACATCGGTCTGCTCTGAGCAAGGTGGAGCTTCCACCCTCAACACCATCAGAGATACTAGTACACAAACACCACATTCGTCAGCATCTGTCTTGTCTCCTACACTTCATGACATTTCTGTTCTTACATTTTGTCTTAATCCTACTCATATGTCACGTATCCTCATATTTACAGTCTTTGCACCATGTAATTTCATACGCTGGTTTCTTATTTCTTGTCTGTCTGTCTTTCTTTTTTTTTCTTTTTTTAAATCCCCTGGTTTTGTGGTTAGAAACCTTAGAAATGAGATTCAAGACATTGGTTTGTTACTACTTACGAACGTCCAGAGTTTTTCAGTAGATTTTTAAATCTCTTGAGGTATTTTTATTCAGATAGGCTTTAAATTGGACTTAAGATATATTTACTGCAGTGGCCATTTAGACATTGTCCGTTTTGTGTAAAAATGAGTTTATCGTGTCTCAGAAAGATCTTTTTTTAAGATCAGCCAGAGCTGATTCTCAGGCATACACATTTTCAAACTAATTTCTGACAATCTCTGAATATCTGTGATTTGTTAATGCTGTTGGACAATTTTAATATTATGGTTAGAAAAATAAACGCGTGATAAATTACAGGATTAATTCCTCTTTTGATTACATGTTCCCCATTGGTCTTTCTAGTCCTTCAGTTATGCATATGTCCTGTCAAATGCATTAATGTCTTTTCGTCTTCACTCCCACACTCACTCACTCAATACCATATCCACGTCTTGTCACTTTCCTTCACACTCGCATGATAATTCAACAAGAAAATCGGTTTCTACGAAGGTGGGATTCAGAAGGCCGAATGCCGGAGGTGTTATGCTGTATCCAAAGCCTTAATCTTTCCGATTTTACATTTCTGGGAGGAAGGCTCCACTCTTCTCCTGGCATGATGTAGCTTATATAGACATTGGGTAAAGAATAGGAATTTCTTCCACACTTTTAACCAATGACGAGCACTATAATATATGCGTACAGGTAATGGACATTTGAACACATGCAATAGGTTTTTATGATGTAAGAGTTGCACTACGCTTGTGCAAAAAGCTAATGGGAGAGGACCACCCTACCTCTTGGATGATAACTGTACAACTTACATGATTAACATCTTCAGCAAAATGTAACAAACCTTTAAAATAAACACTGATTATAATGTTTATTTGACATTACTGTGATTCTCTAAAATACAAGCACTGTAAACTAGTATTTTTTCTCTTTCCAGCTTCCGTAAATTAGATTTACATACATACATGCTTATTTTTTGGGGTAAGATGTCTAAACTGACAGAATCACAAAAGCGGTTTCAGATTGGTATCTCTTGATCAAAAATACAGTAAAACAGTAATATTGTGAAATATTTAAAAGAACAGTTTTCTATTTGAATATACTTAAGTTAATTCAGTTTTGCCATCACAGGAATAAATTCCAATTTAAAATATATTGAAATGGAAAATAGTTATTTTAAATTGTAGTAATATTTCACAATAGTACTATTTTACTTCTTACTATTAATAACATGAATATTTACTATTTAATTTTTTTCATCAAATTAATCGTGAACATAAGAGACTTATTTCAAAAACAGATACCAAACTTTTGTGTATATATATGATTTATGTTACTCTATAAGCGTTGTGAATGATACATCAAGCTCCAGTACCTGGGCTCCAGACGCTCTTTCACTTTTGCTATGGAGCGAATGTAGGGGCCTATTTGGCTGGAAATAGTGGTCAAATAGGAGTTCTCCTGTTTTAACTGAAGCAGGTCATGAAGTTGTGCTAAAAATGAAGAAAAATGAACACCATCAAAAATCACTAAATATGGTAACTAAGATATAACTGCAGTGAGCAGATAAATCTTAAGCATTTAAATACTTACACACCTTCATATATCTCCTGTTCATTTGCCACCCTCTGTAACGTCTCCTCCCAAATCTAAGAACAAAATTAATTGCACAATTACATCTCTTTTTTTTACCTCCACCTACTGTCAGTATTGGTAAGTATTGGCATCTCACCTCCTCGAACATGGCCCGCATGAGCTCGACTGAGGAGTACTCTGCGGAGATCTGTCTGTCCACCTGAACAGACCTCTCCAAAATCTCATTCATGGTGTCGGGTTTGGTGAGTGAGTGGTGCTTGGGGATTGGTCTCTTCTGATAGGCTGTTTAGAGTCCAGTTTTCCTCAGTGTTACAGGGCAGCTCATTACTGTATTGGTGAAGTATGGAATGGCCATTAATGCGTTATAATTAATAACTGTGTCTATGTCTACATTATATAGTTTGAGAAATTGCTGGTAACTTACCTGGGCTGTGTGTCCGCAGTAGGGGTACTGTCCTCGTACAGCAATCTCATTCATGGTGTCAGGTTTGCTGAGTGAATGGTGCTTTGTCAGGTCTCTGTGAATCTCCTGCACCTGGTCTTTGAGCTTCTGGATTTCTGTCTGTAAAGTCTAGTCAAACAGACATGGAGAATTTGTCAGTTGCAGAACAGTATTGCTTAACTTTTTTTCTATGTAAATACGCATTTAGTGGTTGGACATAATATAATGCCATTCATTTTATTTTCCTGTAATTTCCTCTTGGCAAGAATATTAGCCCAGAAAATGGCTAAAAATAAAATATCATGGACTGAACCATGAATGCATAAGAAATTCTCACCCTGTAGCTGTTCTCGTAGTTGCAGCAGTGCTCCATAAAAGGCGTCTCTCCACCCTCCGCCAGCAGGACCTTGGTGCTGATGTAACGGTGTGAGGTCGGCCTGCGCACCACCGAGGAGCACAGTGACATGTCGCTCATGGCTGGAGAGTGACACTGCACTGACAGAGATGATTGCATCCTGCAGGAAGATAATCAAAAGCTTAATATGTTTAAATGTTACTTTTTAAATAAGCATATTTAGTTTTCTTGAATAAACAGACTCACAATCCACTGGCGTTTCCCAGACCTAAAGCCACACTCCCTGCAGTGGACACTGAACGCCGCTGCCCCAACAGCAAGAGTGGCTCCAGGCAGCGAGCAAACTCGGAGCGATACTCTGTGTTTATCTGTGGAGATAGATTACAGCAGATATAACTTATGCATTGACTTATTTAACATACTTGAATGTAGTAAACTAACCTTACTGCTCTGTGCTGGTCTCAGTCTGTGTGGTAGTTTCACAATCTTCTTTAGTCTCTCCATTAATTGCTGTGTGAGGTGAAAATATCAATTATAATTCTTATTGTTGGGACCATGCCCTGGCTGAAATCATTTTATTTTTTATTATTTAATAAAAATATTTTATTTGTTTGTACTCACATATCCCATGTCTAAGAACTCAAACTTATTTGCTGAGCTTAGGAAGGCAGAACATGTGACAAGATGAACCTGGAGATAATTCAATGGAAATATGTCTGAAAGCAAGAAGAATATGTGAAAATATTAAGATGCATGAAGACATGAAGAAAATGCGCTTACCTGAAGAGTTGGCAGGAGTGCTGCAAGATGAGATAACTGCTCTTTGAAGGCTCTCTCCTTCTCCTCATGCTGACTAGAAAATAAAAACACAAAAGAGGATTAGTGTTCCTTAAGATCTTTGGTTCAGTTTGTGTGTGGACTTAGATTACATGTATTATTATTATATTAATATGCAGTATTAAAATATTTCTATATCTCAATTATATCTCAAACAACAATATTATACACACACATACATATATATACTGTATATATATGTGTGTGTGTGTGTATATATATATATATATATATATACATATATATATGCTATAATAGTGATGCACTGAAATTAAAATTCCAACACCAATAATTATCTTATGGTTGATAAATGGCAGATATTAAAATTTTAATATTTAAATGTTAAAAATATTATTATATTTAAATATTCCAATATAGATACTGACATCTCTAATAACTATAATATAAGCTGATAACTGATATGGTATTTTCACAAATATATTGTGCATCTCTAATAATTCATATTTAATATTTCACTCCACTATATTTTTTGTCTGACAAAAAGTATCATGGTACAGTTAGTGCTTTTAAAGTCACGTAACAGATTTTAATGTACAATGTCTTATTTTTCTATTTTTAAGTAATATATATTTTATTTACCTTCGTGCTGCCTTGAGTAGAATCTTTTTTCTTTCTGCTAGTCTTTCCTGAGGAAAGAAATATATGTGAATCACCAATTTTATTATTAATCATTTCATATAAACTTCACCCTTTCAAAACATTTCAAATGATGAAACAATTTTTTAAAAATCCAAATCGTATAAGAGTAGCCAGAATGATTAGTCATGTAATTGTGCATGTCACCTGCATATTATTGAACAGAGTGCAGATGGCGCTCTCTTCTTCATCCACGTTGACCCTGACCTCTCCAATCATGGCTTTGAACAGAATAATGGCTTCTCGCGCTGACGTCTGAAGCTCCTTAACAGCCTGAGGAGAGGGAAATGACTTCAATAGGTGCTTCACAGCTCCACACAATACAGATACAGATGAAAGTACACATTACTGTTGGATGAAAAGGATGGGAGAGAAACTCACTAAGACGGCTTGGTCCAATTTTTCACAGCCTTGGATATATGCTGTCTCAATATCAATGCAGTGTGCTCTGCTCTCCCTATGGAATTAGATAAACCCAGATTATTTTGAAATCGTATGAGTGATATGCTAATTTTATGCTCTGTGAGTTAAGTTTATAACTCACACTTGCATGTCTCTGAAGCAGTTGATGCAGAGCATGGACTTTTTCTCTGTAGAAAACATTATGTAGAGTTCCTCATGGAGGGCTGCAATCAGACAGAAACTGCATGAATCTCAAGACTTGTTATTTTGCTGGGGAAACTTGAGAAGTGGTTTTCAAAACACACACCACATTTTTTGTGGGCTTCTTTGGTGCACTTTGCCAAGGAGACAATCTCGTGGCAGGAAAACATCTTGGCTTTGTGGGTGGTTTCCCTGCAGTCTCGACACAGTGGCTGGCAACAAGTGTTGCAATAAAACATTGCATCCACATCCTGGGGTTTGTGACAGAAGATTCAAATGCATAAACAGACAAAACCTAATCTTTTTTAAAAATAAAAATAATGACATTCAGATGTGCAACATAATTAAACACTGTGACAGAGTTTCATGCCACAGACACTGCTACTGAATCTACAGCTCGACCAGTTTAGTCTGATTCTCAACAAATTATTTTTAGTGAATCAGAAAGGTACAGTGCAACCACTGTTTACATCCTGAACAAATTATTCTAATGACACTTTGATTGACTCTAATGGTTCTTTTTAGTGAATCAAACACATACCTAAAATAAGTAGTTACTGACTGGTTGTTCATATGGCAATGTGTTGTATAATCCTTTTCACTCTTACGTACATCACAATATGGAAGAAAAGATCTTTAAGGAATAGTTCATCCAAACAAGAAAATTTGCTGGAAATGTACTCATCCTCAGGCCATCAAAGATGTAAATTAATTAATTTATTAATAGGAAAAGATTTGGAGAAACTCATTACATCACTTCCTCACCAATGGATCCGCTGCAGTGAATGGGTGCCGTCAGAATGAGAGTTCAAACAGCTGATAAAAACATCACAATAATCCACAAATAATTGGCACGTCTCCAGTCCATCAATTTGTCTTGTAAAGTGAAAAATCTGTGTTTGTAATAAACAAATTCATCATTTATGTTTTTAACTCCAAACCGTTGCTTCTAAAATGTGAGCCCCTCTGTAATATTTTTACTTTCTCCAATGATAAAGTTGACTTGTCTGAATCAGGAGAGAAATATGCACAGATCAAGCACCGAAAGCGAAAACAGTCCAAAACAGTTCTAAACAAATATGTTAGTGGATTTTAATGTGAGAGGACAACAGGGGATGGACTTGTTACCTGGACGAAGCATAATAATGAATCATGGACTGGAACTTTAGCAAGAAGTGACAGTTCAAAGTTAAAAGGCCTTAATGATGGATTTGTTTATTACAAACACAGTTTTTCACTTCATAAGACATTAACTGATCGTCTGGAGTTGCATGGATTATTATGATACTTTTGTTTGGACTCTCATTCTGACGGCACCCATTCACTGCAAAGGAGCCCTTGGTGAGCAAGTGACATAATGCTAAATTTAGCCAAACTGTTCCGATAACAAACAAACTCGTCTACATCTTGGATGGCCTGAGGGTGAGTAAACTGTCAGCGATTTTAATTTTTTGGGTGAACTATTCCTTTAAAAATTCTGTGTAAACAACTTTTGCAAGAACTAAATTTATGAATTTGCATTTTTTCCAAAATATTTATTCCGTAAAAGTACTCATCATATTATTACAATATCAGCTCACATTCAGATCTGCCTCCATCCAATCAACCCATGAATAAAATCCCCACCCTACATTTCACTAGTTTCACTCGGTACATCACAATATATGACAAAAGAATCTTCCGCTATTTCCATTACATTGTGACTTTAAGGAACCATTAAAGTCTTTATGAAGTGCATGTTTCAGTGTTGTGATGGTGATAATGAGACCTGTTTCTTGCACTCCAAATCACAGTTAGCACACTGCACGGTTTCCTCACTGTCTGCTGAACTGTCCACCAAGAACTTCAGGAGTCGATCCTCTGGGGGGAGTGCATTTATTCCTTTCACAACAGACTGATGTCTAAAAAATAAACAGACAGTTTTGTGTGCCTGTGCAGAACTTTTGACCCATTGCCTGATAATGTCTTAGTCATACATCTGGCATTGACGAGTTTATCTCTCCCTCATAGCAACAACGACACAAATAGCTCTCTTTTGAATTCTGAGATATAACTGAGACTGATAGACAAACCCCCACAGAGTCAAAAATAAACACAAACATGAGACTCAAATAAGCGTAATTCCCAGCAAAAAGACTATTTTAACATTTCTAAGCTTAATAGTTCAAAGATTCCCTGTGAATTCACTTTCATGAGAAGCATTCACAATGTATTTGACAAAAAGTGATTTAAACAATGATATATTGTCCTATACTCTACTTTGCATTGCTAATGCATAACAATGACAAATACATAATGCATGCAATCACAATGCCATAATGTAACACTCATGCTGCAGCACTCATAATGCAACACAAACACTGAGAAATGTGCAGTAACCTTCAAATTAACACTGAACCAGCTACAAACTAATTCATACTTACTCTAACATGCTGCTTTATAAAGACCACCAACTTTTTCCCATTTTTTAATATATTTCTTCCATAGGTGCAAGATCTACAGTGTGCGATTAAGCTGCTGCTAGACTTACTATATGGAAGCAGAAGGGTGAGCACACAGGCATTTCAGCCAT